GGGGGGGGGAGTGCCGCGGCGCGGGGCCAGCGCACCTGCGCACAGGCTCCGCGGTGCGTGGGACCCGAGGTGGCCCTCTGGCTCGTCGGAACGGGTTCAGCGTGCCAGCAAATGTGGACGGAGGACAGGCACCGATACAAAAGGGGGTGGGGGTGGGGGCCTGCTGCCACCTGGGGTTGTCCTAGATGCCGAAGTGGATCTGGCCGTATCCTGGGCAAACTGGCGCGCCCTGCGTAGACCCTTGGGAAACAGGCCTGGAATTTCTGTTGCGAGGAGAGTGGGGGGGGGGGGGGGAAGGGGAGCCAGTAGGGATTCCAGAGTTACTGCCTAGGCCACCGAGAGCGAGCCTTGCCACAGATGGAGAGTTCTTCGTGACCCTCAAAGGCAACACTGTGCCCCCTTGGTTGAAGGTTCATAGTCATCCTTTAGTCCAGCGTCTCTTAGGTCAATCTGACAGGCTAGGCGTGGAGCTTAAGGCTGAAGCCTGTGGCTTTGCATGGGGGAGAGACTGCGTGATGACACAGAGCTGCCCGGGCACAGCGCAGAGCCCTCACCCACGGTTTTTAGTTTTGTTCTCCCTTCCCCAGGTAAGGCCGACCTCCCAGCAGTTAGACGTCTGAGCTCTGCCACAGGCATAGGGATGTCTATTGCTACAGTTGTCTCCGACATCCGGGGCTTCCGGAGTGCAGGCTGGAGCAGACGCTGCAGCAGAAGCATGCCCAGGAACATGCCTAGAAGGAGCTGGAAAAAGCCTCAGCCCCAGCTATGCAGTTTTCAGGGTAGAGTTTGGCCTCTGTCCTCAAATCAACCCAAAGCTCCGTTGCTCAGGTCTCCCTTACTGGCAGGGCAGGGGCATACTGGGGAAGGAGTCCATTCTCATGTCGTGGAGTCTTCCCTGGGTTCAGGCGGGGATGGTGTGTGTGTGTGTGTTGGTTGGTTGTGAGTCATGTTGGTAGTCCCCAGAAGAGAGCAGATTAAAGGAATTCGGGAGGTTGTGCCTGGACAGAGCCAGTGAGCAGACATGAAAGGTCTTGGGGGAATCGCACTGCCACCCCAGAACTCACTCTGTGTGGGAGGCTCTCAGGAATTTGGGCTCCCTTGCTGCGGTATGGCTGAGGATGGGGCAGTCATTGGCCAGGTTTGGGCAGGACCAGCCAAGGGACAGAGGTTACAACCTCTTCTTCCATCTTTCCTGAACCCCAGCAATCCCCAGCACCCCTAAGAGATGCTGAGCCAGGGAGTCGCCCCCAGCCCCTCGGAGGGGCGGGGTCAGAGGATGTGGGTGTTCCTCAGATTGAGGAGTGCTTTCCACCCCCACCCGCCACTGTCCCAACTGCAATTGCTTGGGTGTGGGTGGACAGGGGCTGGTAGGCAGAATGTGGGCAGCCTGGACAGGTGGTGGCCTGGCATTAGTCTGTGCCAGGAGAGGCACCTTGCCCTCCTCTCATTCTGAAGAAAGGCTGTTCCCGATTGTCCTCCAGGCTTGGACCTGAGTTGGAGAGGCTGAAAGCACCTTCCTCAAGGTTTTAGCCGGATGACTTTTGAGGAGATCTTCACACACCTAGGTTCTGAGAGTAACACACTGTGGCCTGGGGGTTCCCGAGACCTGTCTCCCAGCTTTGGTTTGCTAGTGGTTTACAGTGTGGCCCCACCAAGTCTTACCACCATTTTAAGCCTCACACTTCTTATGGTCAAGTAGGGAGCTCTGATATGGCAGAAGGAAGTGGCAGCCACAGGGAAAGCCAGGGGAGTTTTGCAGGGGAGTCAGGCACGGAGGAAATGCAAGCATGCAAGAATGTTTTCTGTAAGTATTCCTGACGCTAGGGTACATACCGGGGAAGAATCCCGAGGAGTGTCAGCATGTCTCCCTTCTGCAAGTTTCCAGGGCAATGAGATATAAATAAAGATCCTTGAAATTTATTTAGAAACTCAAGACCGAAGTAATAGCTAAGAAATAAAAAATAAAATAGTGCTGCCGTTCCTAGAGGGACATTTTCTTCTTCCTTGGGGTCGGAAGGGCGACACTGGGGTCAGTTCTTGCAGTGACTGTGTTTTTCCACCCTCAGCCGAGGAAGAACCGATGCTGGAACAGCGCTGCAGGGGCCCCGTGGCCATGGGTCCAGCCCAGCCCCAGCTCCTTTCTGGGTCCTCCCAGGAGTTCTCCCAGCCCAACAGAGGGTTGAGGTACCAGGGCAAGTCAGTAGCTCGGCCAGAAGGCCAAGCCACAGGCAAGGCCCATCGTTGCGCCCACTGTCGGCGCTGCTTCCCAGGCTGGGTGGCCCTGTGGCTTCACACTCGGCGGTGCCAGGCCCGGCTGCCTCTGCGGTGCCAGGAGTGCAACCAGCGCTTTCGCCACGCCCCCTTCTTAGCGCTGCATCTTCAGGTCCATGCCTCTGCCATCCCTGACCTGGGTTTCACCTGCCACCTCTGTGGGCATAGCTTTCGAGGCTGGGTAGCCCTGGTACTGCACCTGAGGGCTCACTCAGCTGTGAAGCGGCCCATCACTTGTTCCGAATGCGACCGACGCTTCTGGCGACAAAAGCAGTTTCGAGCTCACCTGAGGAGATGCCACCCCCCTGCCCCTGAGGCCCGGCCCTTCATATGCGGCAGCTGTGGCTGGAGCTTTGCCCAGTGGGACCAGCTGGTTGTTCACAAGCGGGTGCACGTGGCTGAGGCCCTGAAGGAGGCAGCATCCAAGGCCCTGGGCCCCAGACCCCGAGGCCGGCCTGCGGTGACTGCTCCCAGACCCGGCGGAGACGCCGTGGACCGCCCCTTCCAGTGTGCCTGCTGCGGCAAGCGCTTCCGCCACAAGCCCAACCTGATCGCCCACCGCCGCGTGCACACTGGCGAGCGACCACACCAGTGCCCCGAGTGCGGGAAGCGCTTCACCAACAAGCCCTACCTGACCTCGCACCGGCGCATACACACGGGCGAGAAGCCCTACCCGTGCGCCGAGTGCGGCCGCCGCTTCCGCCACAAACCCAACCTGCTGTCGCACAGCAAAATCCACAAGCGCTCCGAGGCGTCAGCGCAGGCCACACCCGGCGCTGGGAGCCCCCAGATGGCAGCCGAGCCCTTGGCTCAGCCTGCACGCGGGGCGCCCCTGGGGTCCCCGTGGGCCCCGGCCGAGGCCCCTGCGCCCCTGCACAGCTGCGCCGACTGCGGCCGCAGCTTCCGGCTGGAGCGCTTCCTGCGGCTGCACCAGCGGCAGCACAGCGGCGAGCGGCCCTTCGCGTGCACCGAGTGCGGCAAGAACTTCGGCAAGAAGACGCACCTGGTGGCGCACTCGCGCGTGCACTCGGGCGAGCGGCCCTTCGCCTGCGAGGAGTGTGGGCGCCGCTTCTCCCAGGGCAGCCACCTGGCAGCCCATCGGCGTGACCACGCCCCAGAGAGGCCCTTCGTGTGCCCCGACTGCGGCAAGGCTTTCCGCCACAAGCCCTACCTGGCGGCGCACCGGCGCATCCACACGGGCGAGAAGCCCTATGTGTGTCCGGACTGTGGAAAAGCCTTCAGTCAGAAGTCCAACCTGGTGTCGCACCGCCGCATCCACACAGGCGAGCGGCCCTACGCCTGCCCCGACTGTGACCGCAGCTTCAGCCAGAAGTCCAACCTCATCACACACCGGAAGAGCCACATCCGGGATGGCGCCTTCTCTTGCGCCATCTGCGGCCAGACCTTTGACGACGAGGACCGACTCTTGATGCACCAGAAGAAACACGATGGCTGAGCGACGCCGTAGCCCTAGGGAGACAGGCCTAGATGCCCTTGGCTACAGCCTGTCAGTGGCCCCGGTGGGTGCCTGCACTGGCGCTGCTGGAGACAGGTAGGGATCCCAGAGGGACAGAGGAGGCAGTGTGATCTGGGCTCTGTTTAGGAATGGCGTTTCCCCGGGTGGCCAGGGAACCCATTTTAGAATTCAGGGACCTGGCTTTGAGCTAGTCGGCCCCCAGCTGGTTTTTCTAAGGGTCATCTCAGACTGCCCTGTACCCTGGAAAAATAGCAATAGCAGCCCCATCTACCCTTTGAGTCCTCTGCTAGAGGAGCTACCAGTGGGAAGGGGGCCCCCCATCCTCTGGTGTTAACGCCTTAACGTCCCCGCCTTTACTATGAGTTACTTCAGGTCATTTTTTGGGAGTAGGTGTGATCGTTAGTAAATGAGCCCTGGGGCAGGGAAGCGGACCTGCTGGATTCATGTTGGTGGACCTGCCGGCTCCTTAGGTAGCGGGGAGAGGGGAAGCTGAGCTCACTCTTTCTTTCTTTCTTTCTTTCTTTCTTTCTTTCTTTCTTTCTTTCTCTCTCTTTCTCTCTCTCTCTCTTTCTCTCTCTCTCTCTCTCCAGCACCCTTCTGCAATGCCCTGCATAGGTACCCAGATATGTAGAGGTCCATCCATGTTTGGCAATGCCATGTTCTACCTGCAGGTTGTTCTCCCAGGACATTTATTTACCCCTTCATCTGCTGGCTTTATCTGCCCTCTCTCCCCAAGTGTAGGGCTTCCCTGGTGGTTTTGTTTAAACCCTTGACCCTCCCACCTCTTTCCATAGCGCCAGGAGTTATGTGAAAGAGTAGTGCCTGATGCCGGGGGTTTGCCGCAGGGAAGGTTCTGGCAGATTTCCCTTTAGGGTGTCCAGGATGTGGATGCCAGCCTCCATCATGCACCTGGGTGCTGGGCACTCTCACCCCCAGAGGCGCTGGTTCTATTGTAGGGTGACTAATTGTTAGAATTCTTACTTATAATTACTGGATTCTGCTTTCCTATGACTTCTGCCTACCAGGTCATGTTTTCTTTTCTGGATCAAAACAGAATAACCATTTACCTTCCTTTCAAACTAGAGAATAAAGATTTGGTTTTAGAACTACTGGCCGGCAGTGTTCTTTTCTGTGGGAGCTGTGATGATGGGAGTGCATCACTGTTTACCTAGGCCATGGGGCTCGGGCAGCAGCCGAGTCCCTCTCTACTCTCCTCCCAGTCCTTGCTGGAGACAGAGCTAGACATACCCACGCTTGAGTAAATTCTGTGTGTTGGGCAAAAGCACCAGAGAACAAGATGGGTTATTTTGGAACCAAGGTCTTGTAATGTTGCACCCAAGCCTATCATTTTTTTTTTCTTACCACTTTAGCCTTCATGTCACATCACTGAGAGCCTCATGTAAGGGTGGTGGACCTTACACACTTTGGTTACGTCTTCAGCCTTGTCAGGTTGTTGTCATGAAAAATAGAGGCCCTGGGAAAAGAGGTGCCCTGAGCAGCAAAGACAGCTTTCAGCTCACACATCCCCCAACACTGATTACAGATGCACACAGACATGAGCTCAGCCTTTTCTAGGGTCAACTCAGAGTCAGCAGGTCCCTAAGGGGGAAAAAGGGCTGGTTTGATTTTGTCTGGCAGGGCCTCTCTGGTTGGCCTGTAGGTCCATCACTGATAACCTCACACACAGCAGAGTGCTGTTCTTGTCAGGCACCAAACAGGCCCTCTTGCCTGTTCCTGCATCAGTCCCAACAGTGCTAAGAATAACTATGTTTTTTTCCAATGGACTTTGCTAAGAAGTTCTGCCTGATCCCACCCACCTAATGGCCTGCTCTGGATGCTCTTGTTCCTCCTTCAAATTCAAACAAACACCTGTACACTTTCCTGTAATGCTAATTACCAGACCTGCCTCAGACTCAGGTCTGTTTACTTCTCCTTTTTCTCTTAAAGATTGTTTGTGTGTGTGTGTGTTTGCCTTCATGTATGTCTGTACATGTGTGTACCTGGTACCTGTGGAGTCCAGGTCAGGAGAAGGTATTGGACTCCCTGGAACAGGAGCTATGGATGGTCGTGAGCCACCATGTGAATTCTAGGAACCAAACCCAGGTCCTCTGCAAGAGCATCATGTGCTCTTAGCTGCTGAGCCATCTCTCCAGCTCCCCTTTCAGTCCTGACCACCACTGTATACCACAAAGTAAATTCAGTGTGCTGCTTTTGGTTACATAAAACTGGGTTTGGGGAGAGGCTTCAGTCTGTAGAACATATACGCCTCGCAAGCATGAGGACTCGAGTGTGACTTCCTGGAGGCCATGCAAAACCTGAGTACAATGGTTCACAATTGTAATCCCACAGGTAGTGAGATCCCAGCATCTTTCTGGTCACCTCAGGTAGCCTAGCCTACATGATGAAATTCCAAGCTAATTAAAACCCTGTCTCCAAAAAATGGAAGGTGCTTGAAGATACATGATGCGATCCTCTGACCTTCAAATGCCCCCCCATACACAAACTTTATAATGTAGGCCCTCCCTGTGTGTGTACCAACACTTACAGAGTTTTACTTTTTTTTTTTTTTTTTTTTTTTAAACAGGGTCTAATGTAGCTCCAGGCTGGCCTTGAACTCACTTTCTCCCTATGTAAGGCCTTTAACTTCTAATCCTCTGTACTCTACCTCCTGAGTACTGGGATTCCAGCTCACCATATGCAACTTTATGTGTTTTAAAATTCCTTCCTGGGCTCTTTTTCTCTTCATATTTGAAGTTTGAAGGGTTTTCTCCCAGCCATTTTGTGTGTGTGCATTTTCAGCTGCCCTGCTTTTGCTTAGTGGGAGATAATCCCAGATGTGCTTCATTCTTTCCACCCCTGAAGCAGCCTTGGTCCCGAATGTCAATCTGGAGTCTGTCACTCTAGAGTGGAAGTGCTGTTCCCAGGCCACACTAGCTAGTTGAGGATCTGAAGCTAGAATGAAAATCCAGAAAGGTGAATAAGCAGGTGGAAAAGTATTCACCTGTGTCACAGGCAAATCCGTCGAAGTCCAGAGACAGAAAAGTCTCTTTTGTGATTGCTGCACACAGTGGGAAAATGGCTAGAAACTCAGCCACAGTTTCCACCATGCTTAAGAGTTGATCAGCAGCTGGCCCAGGCTCCTGACCAACTGCAGATTGGTCTTACGGTTTACAGGAAGTCAGAGAGGTTCATCTTTCCATCCACCTTTGTTCCAAATGCACCTGCAAAGTAGCTCTGGAGAGAAAATGCAGTTTCTGGCCAGTTGTGAGAGGATTTACCCATCTGTGACCCGACCTAAGGCAGGAGAGGCAGGATGTTTCAGATGAGTGGGAGGGTGGTGTGTGTGTGTGTGGGGGGGGTGTGTGTGAAAACACCTTCCTGGCGGTGTTTGTGAACCAATCATCCTCCTTGGTAGTCTGGGCCTGGTTAGCAGCTAGAAGGTATTTCGGTCAACGGAACCCTAGAGTGCAGTGAAATTAGACGCGGGTAGGTAACCTCTTCAGACCTCTGTCCTCAGCTGGACGAAGCTCTCCCGAGTGCAACAACTTCCAAAGCTGCTCACAGACAGCTCCAGACGTTATTTCTCATGACTCACTGTGGGCTGCTGAGGTGCTGGAGATGGCTCACTCATGAGGCACAAGAGCCCTGCAACGCGTAACAGGCAGGCGTGTGCAGTGCCACCCGAACACAGCTTTCAGGGAATAAGGAAAAAGAGCCACACTAAAGTAGACGTCCTCTCGGGAGGGCTCCTAAGAGTGGTACATTCTATGTGTTCCAGGACACCCAGTGGCACCGCGGTACCCCGTACCTATGCCCAGAGTTCAGATGTCAGGAAGCGCTTGCGCGGGAGGCAGAGCGCTCGAAGACCCGGTGCACCTGGCGGACGGAGCGCAGCGACCGCGCGCCGGGCACAGGACTCGTGACCGCCTTCCCCAGCCCAGCGCGGCTCGGCGCACTGTTCGCCGCACAGGGCCGCGCGCCCGCGGGCGAGGTCAGACCCTGACTATTGGCTCCGGAGAACAAAGGGGACGCCCCGCGGGCAGCGCCAATAGGGCCGGGAGTGTCATCTGAGCCGTGCAGCCAATCCACAGACGGGGCGGTGCAGGGCGACCGACCAATCACGCGCGCCCGCCTGCCCTGCCTACCCCGGGACTGGTCGTGGCACGGAGCCCAGTGCCCAAGTCGCCCTTTTGGTAACAGTTCCCGTTAACCTTAGCCACAAAGTCAAAGGTATTTATTTCTCAGGCCCCCTCCCCGCGAGTCCCTGTGCAGTTCGGGCGGGGAGGGGCGGTGCAGGGACGGACCAGCGCCCCGCCGCTCTTCCGGGCTGCTCCGTGCTGCTCCGCTGTCCCGGGCTGGAGAGGAAGGATTGGTCTGGGGCCTGGAGGTGCCCGAGTCCTGCGCGCACCTCAGCTCTGGGCCCCGATTTCCTGCACCACCAGCACCCTGCCCAGCTCAGCGGGAGGGCAGCAGGCCAGGGCAGCGAAATCGGGGGCGGGTGTGTGTGGGGGACCGTTGGAGAGTCGCCTGCGCGGCCCCTCCTGAGCCAACTGGTGGTTCTGAGTTTCCCATCTGTGTCTGCTCCCCGAGTAGATGTGCTTCTGGGGGCAGGAACTCCAGTGCTGGCTATAGACAGACTCAAAAGTAGGTGATCCCTAAGTGAGCGTTTCTGGGAGCCCGGATGAGAATAGAGGTGGACCACAGGCAAGAGGAACACACGCAGAAATAACAGCTGTGTGCGCGGCTAGGGGGCTGGTTAGCCAGAGTCTGACTGCAGCAGCCTCAGTGGGTGTGGGCTCCAGGGATGTAGAGGTGAGGTGTGCCGCCTGAGGTTGGAGGTAGTGACACTTTGTTTGTTCTTGGCTTTTAGTTGTGTCAAGGCCAAGGCCTGGACTGTGTGCTGCGGATAGAGGCCTCGGTGTTAGGATGTGTTTGGTCTGTTGGTGGTAACAGAAAGCATGATGGTGACATTTACCCCACAGGCACGTAGCTGGATGACACATAGTTAAACTCTAGCTTCGTGTCTCCAAATGGTGTCTGTCTCTGGCAAAATGATCCCTGATTTGGGCCAGGAAGGGCCATTGTGGCCAACGTCACTCCAAGACAGAGGTTATAGGTGTGCAGGTGGGTGAGGACACAGTGAATCTGGAAATTGGGTGATATGCTGGGGGCAATGAGGAAAGAAAATCAAAGACTAAATTTTGAATGGCCTTGCCAAGACATTTTTGTCTAAATCTCCAGGTGCCAGGGAGATTAGATGTAAAGATTAACATACCCTTGAGGTATGTTAAGGGAGCGAAATGTCCCAGTTGCAGTTTTAGAAAAATTAGTTTGAAGCCAGTTAGTGGTGGCACAGGCCTTTAATCCTAGCACTCAGTAGACAGAGGCAGGCAGAGCTCTTGAGTTTAAGGCCAGCATGGGCTACAGAGAAACTCTGTCTCCAAAAACAAACAAACAAAGCAAAACACCCCCCCCCAAAAAACAAACAAACAAAAAACAAAAAACAAAGAAAAAGATTTTAAAAAACAAAAAGAAAAATCAGTCTGGGTTCTGGATGGCAGATGGATTTGGAGCAACCAAGAAAATCAGCAAAGCTAACTATTATTGACTGATTCGTGTGTGTGTGTGTGTGAGAGAGAGAGAGAGAGAGAGAGAGAGAGAAACTTTTTTTTGGGAGTTGGTTCTCTCCTGTAGATTACATGTATTCTGGGTATTAGGCTTGGGTCAACAGTCTTACATGTCAAGCACTTTTACTAAGCCAGTGGTTCTCTGCCTTCCTAACGCTGCAACCCTTTAATACAGTTCCTCATGTTGTGGCGACCCCCAAACATAAAATTATTCTCGTTGCTATTTCACAGCTGTCATTTGGCTACTGCTATGAACTGTACTGTAATATCTGTGTTTGCCAATGGTCTTCAGGCGGCCAGTGTCGAAAGGCTTGTTCGACCCACTGTTGAGAGCTACTGCATTAAGCAATCTTCTCACTGCCTTTTTTTAAAATCATTTAGGTGAGAAACAGTGAGATTTGGACTCAGAATTGGTGACAGGCCTGAAAGAAGTTTGCCAGCCTTGGGTATGGGTTCAAGGGAGAAACTTGGGCTGATGATTTAGACTGGGGTTAATTCAGCACACCCAGAGTTGGTAGACGGGAAAGGGCCTACTTGCTTCTGTGTGGGTTGGCCCTGGAGAGCCTCCCATGCACACATTGGTCTATATGCCCCACAAGGCTGCCCAGGGACATCTGTTCCTGCCTCCCTATGTTCTGTGTTTTGTTTTTTTTCAGATTGGGTTTCATATAGCCCAGGCTACTTGATATGTAACTTAGGCTAGCCTTGAACAGCTTGTATTACATGAATGTATCACTACATTCAGCTTTGAGAACACGTGTGTCATGACTGATTCAGAAATGTTGTCACAGTGGACCGTGTAGAGAATGGTGTTGACGTGCCTCATCCTGGCCTGCGTGTACGCTGTTGGAAATGAATCTTTTTAACGAGGACTTATTTTTCCTTTGTGTGTCTGAGTGCTTTGCCTTCGTGTATGTCCATGCACCACATAGGCATGCACGCAGACCAAACGAGGGAGTCAGATCCACTCGCTTGTAGCCATCATGCGGATGCCGGGAACCGAACCCCGTCCTCTGTAAGAGCTGCAAGTGCTCTTCACCAGTGAGTCACCTCTCCAGCCCCCATGCCTATGTTTTGAGATACTTTCCTCTGTACAGTCTCCAGTCCCTCCAGCTGTCTGAGGGACATGTTCCGATGTTGCCTGACTCCCAGCGGACGTTTGAAGCTGCAGTTGATTTTGGGCTGTAGTGTCTTTTCCAGCACAGATATCTGACAGTTTGATTTATGGGTTATACACAGGGAGAGGGTAAGGTCAATAAATGATACCATGTAACAGTTCCAACAGTGCACTGTAGTGAGTGTGTATTAACTTCACGTGGTTCTTGGTTCTCTCAGACTGTCTTCCGCATGGCACCAGGTGAGGCTGGCCGTGGCTAACCGAATCTGCTTCTGTTTGCTTAGCTGGCTGGGATGCTTATGTGCGCATGTGTGCACTCAGCTGCGTTTTCTCGGCTCCCTGTTCACCTTTGGTCATGTTTGACTGAAATCCTTTCCCAGGCAGAGTGAATCTGTTGTTAGTGACAAAGGGCTGGACCCAGAGGAGGGATGGCTTTTAAGTCTTCAAGTTGATTAGCCAGTCTTTTCGGTGTGTGTGGAGCCTCTTTTCTGTCAGGCTCCGGCAGGGCAAGCTTGCCAGAGCCCCTGGAAGACAGTGGTGGCCTTGGCAGTCAGTCACAGTGGGACAACTGCATGTGGCCTTTGAGCACTTCCATGGGACCAGTTTGATTGAGAAACTGGATTTTAAAGTCGTTTGGATTTCAGGATGCTTATTGTTGTCTTTTAAAAATTATTTTATTTTTATTTTTTGTGCGTTGATGTTTTGCCTGCATGTATTTCTGTGCGAGGTGTCAGATCCCCTGGAGCTGGATTTACAGACAGTTGTGAGTTCCGGCAGTTGAACCCCTGGAAGAGCAGCCAGCGCTCTTAACCAACTGGCCACCTCCAGCTTATTTGAATTTAACACATTTGGACACAGATGCCAAACTCCTGAAAATGGGGGACTGGAAGTTTAGGGTTGGTGTGGCTGCAGGTGCCTTTCATGTAAGTCCCACATCTCTCAGTGGCCACATAGTTATGTAGAGGGCTCCAGAGCGGGCAAGGCTGCCCCGGCTGCATCCTGGTGCCAGCATTTACATGATCCTGAGCCATGACTGAATTGCTCTGGGGCAGGATTTCCTTAGCTGAAGGATGATGTGGGCTGTGCTTGCCGAGTGCTTGGTCCTTGTTCAGTGAGCAGCAGCTGGTGATGTTTCCCCTTGTTCCCTCTTCTGTCTTTCCCTAGGTCACAGACCAGTGGGGGAGATGGGGGATGCACCTCCTCTGCCCCACGAGGAGAGCTAAGAACCCCCTTGGCACGGGGGTACAGACGGGCTGTCCCCTTTTCGTGTGTAGGTGTTGTCCCAGCTTTCAGGCAATGCCCTGGTGAGGCAGGCAGGCAGGGAAAGCGAGCAGAAGGCAGTCATTGGTGGGTGCTCTGAGGACAGGTAGGGTCAGTGGGTTCTCTGAAATATGTATCTGTTAGAAAGGGAAGTGGGGTGGGGAGTTGGCAGGTGGGGGGGGAGGCTGAGGTAGGATGTCTCCTGCCTGGGTCTCCTGGGAAGGTAAAGGGCTGTTGGGACAGGTAAGAGCGCCACAGGGTGAGGACCTTGTGGGACCTCTGGGCTGAGAAAAGCCAGTCGATGGGCTTTGGGCACTGGAAGCCCTGCTTTACTGGTGACGAAAGAGACATGAGGAACAGCCCACTGCTCACTTCCGACCCTGGGCGGGGGCCTGCACTGTGGGAGGTGTAAGCGGAGAGCCCCAGGCAGATCCTCGACCTGCTTGTCCCTGGCACTTGCCCTCTTCTGGCTCCCACTTGTGCACCTCGTGCACTTCAGTCTACCCTGACACCAAAGTCCCCTTGCTATCTCCCCAGTCGCCACCTGTCTCAGGCCACAATCCCCTTTGTGTTTTTGCAGTTGGCCGAGCAGCTGGTGGTTTGGGGACTTCCCATCAGGGGAGTTCACTTCCGAACTGCAACCTGACCCAGTGTAGGCTTGAGGAGGCTACCGGAAGATGGAGGTGACCAGGGGCCTTATCTTGTGTGTCCTGTCTCCTCGTGGGTGGTGGATGGAGGAGAAGGTCGAGACTGGGGTTCAGGCCCCCTGTGATAAAGCAACCTGTCATCCTGGCTCTTGAGGTTATATAGGAAGTAGTGTGTGTGTGGGCACGCCTGGCCCTCAGCTCCTGTGTCCTGCCAGGGTGTTCAGGTGGACAGCCTGCTCACCTCCTCACTCCCTCCAGCTGACTGCTGCCTCAGGTGGGTTATGAGCAGGGATGATGTCAATGATGTGACAGAATGATAGATGGAATGAGAGGGTCTCTGGCGGTGTGGAAGGCCTGAGAGGAGTGTCCATACGCGGGGCCGGCCTTGGGCTTGGCTGTCCTAGGGTGCTGTTCTGCAAACTCGTAACACATAGGAAGTAGGTCTCAAAAGCCATGGCCCGCTTCCACCTATCTCTGCCTCTTCTGTATTCCCCTCGCAATTCTATCCTCATTCCTTTGGGCCTGCGTGGGTCTCCTTGCTTCTGTCCCCGCTGAGACCCCAGAAGAGTTGCTTTAGTCCCTGCCTGGGGTAGCCTGGACAGACATATCCAGGTGTCCTCAGGCTGGGTCACCAGGAAACAAAGCCCTTCTGGTTGCATCTTTTAATCAGTTCTTAGAAGCCAGGGTGGATAAAGTGGGGCTCTGACTGGGTGGGTTAGGGCCTCCCATGTGTGGTGTAGGCGAGTCCTGAGTCTCTAGCCTTGTTCTGAATTTCTGACCCACACTCTCTCAGTCCACGCCTCCCCATGGCCAGGTGACCTCTCTGTTGGAGGCTCTCTAGGCCTCTTGAGGTGGTCCCCAAGATGCAGGGTACAGAAACTCACAGAGAAGGACCTGGAGGTTGTGAGTGGGCAGGGCCCCAGGTGCCCCTTCAGGTAAGGCTTGCCTTCCGCTCCCTGCTGCTCCCTCCTCTCTGCCCACCAGAATCTATGAGAAAACAGTGGGAGTGCTTCCCAGACCCCCATGGGGAAACAGCCGCAAACAAAACCTCCAGCCTCTGCAGAAGAGTTCTCCACTTGGTAACAGAGAAAGAGGCTTATTTTGTTCATTGAATGACTATTAATGAGAACGATGACATTGCCAGACAGTGGAACTCAAGCCCCAGATATAGCCCAGGCAGATGCCTCCCACTGCACACACACGCTCTCACAACAAATCATGGCTGGTCCTCGGACAGCAGGATGTCACATGTCACATGCAGCTCATTGTGGATTCACCTGGCCGTTGGGGTGACTGTCTGCTAGATACTTGCCCCTATCTAAGTTAAAAATAAACATCATATTTTTAAGACCCTTGAGGAAACCATTTAGTGGGTTGTCAAGCTGGAAGGAGGCTTTATTTAATTTTGAAAAGATCTACAACTGTTTAGATAGGACAGGGCCGGAGCTTAGCAATTAGAACTTAGCAATTCTAAAGAAAATGCTCTGAGAAAAAGGTCTTCCCTCCCTTCCTTATAGCTGGGGTTTCCCTTTCTAGTCAGGGCACTGATTTCTAGCCTGAGTAAGTACTCCCAAAGCAGACTCAGGGAGGTGGTCTGGGGGATTATCAAAGCAAGGGCTGGTCTTTTTATTTTTTTTTTAAGGTTTTTAAATTTACTTTATGTATTTGAGTGTTCTGACTGCATGCACACCTGCATGCCAGGGAAGGGCATCAGATTCCAGTATAGATGATTGGGAGCCACCATGTAGTTGCTGGGAACGAACTTAGGACCTCTGGAAGAACAGACAGTGCTCTTAGCCACTGAGCCATCTCTCTAGCCCCATCAAGGGCTGCTTTTTATGAGGGGTCTCTAGGTCCCAGAGTTGGTTTTCTATCTGAAGATAACCCAATCAAAAGTACGAAGAAGCCCCTGTCCAGAACCAGCATGAAGCCAGCTTTGAGTTTCCATGGGGCAGCTAACCACCTGTGCTAAGTAAGGGGTTATTAGTGGGTGAAGCCAGACTCCAACCTTAGAAGAGACAGTCACATCACTGTGGTAGATAGCATGAGCCTACCTGTGAGCCACAGCTCAAAGCCAGGCAGAGAGGGGGGATACACAGATCAGTTAAGTGCTGGAGGTGAGCTGGGGGATGTGGCTCAGTTGGTAGAGAGCAGGCTGGAAGCCTTGAGTTCTATCCCTAGCACCGAATAAAAAGCCAGGCACAGGCCTGTGATGGCAGCACTAGGGAGATGGAAGTGGAAGGTCATAAACTAAAGGTCATCCCTGGGTACTTGATAAGCAGGGCTAGCCTGGGCTACACAAGACCCTGTCTCACACTTTCCTAAATATAGGGGAATGGAAGAGAAAAATGAGAGGGGTTAGGCTTGTGCACGGAGGTCCCAGGGTGAGCTAGCCACTCTGGTAAGCTAACACTTAAGCAGAAGAAGGAAGCAAGACAGAGACTGTAGGGATGAGCAGAGCAGAGCAGGTCACAGACCAGGACACCCAAGCAGCTGCATGGTCTGTCCCAGGTATAAAGGGAAGCAGCTGGGAACGGTTCAAAAGATGATTGTAAAACATGATTGACTAATGCTACTCATGAACCAGGGGGTGGTGGGCCAGCATGTTCTTGGTGGCATTGGTGGCGGTGGAGGCGGAGGCGGTGGTGGCGGCAGCAGCAGCAGCAGCAGCTGTGGGATGTTGTGAAGGGGTTTGTTCTGGGACATTGGAAGTATCCCATTGATTCAGGCCATGTGGAAGAAGGCCTGCTGCCAGATGTTGTTTTGGTTTTGGTGATAGTGCTGGGGGTTGAATTCCAGGCCTTGCACACGCTAGGCAAGCACTCTGCTAGGGAGTCACATCCCCAGCCCCTCCAGGGGGCTTCTTGAACAGGGTGCCCATATTTAACCCTACCCGATGTGCCTGGTTCTCAGGTGGCATGCTCCTCACACACTCTCTGTGCTAACAGTGTGGGCCCTGAAACTCTGCTGTGGGGAGTTAGGAGGCTTGGGTTTTTATCCAGATCAGCTATTCAGGCATCTTTTCATCTCGGGCACACCGAGGCTTGTCTTGGGCCGTTTCCTCTTTGTACCCATTTACCTTCCCATCTGCACATTTTACCCGAGGGAGTGGACAGAACTCCCAAAAAGAGCATGGGCTATGAGATGGGAGAGGGGCTGGGAAAATGGGTTTTGTCCATGTGTCACTGGCCATTCTTTCTCTTTTCTCCCATCTTACCCCCAGGTGGCAGGGCTGAGACCTCACCAGCACTGACTGGTGCAGTAGGAGGCCTGCTGGGATGGAGAGCAGCCTGGCTGGCACCATCTCAGGTAAGAGAACTCAGCCTCCTGCTGCTTCCCGACCCCTTGCCCTCCCTGGAGCCAAACATAAGTTGCTGTCCTCAGCTGGTATCTTCTAGAACGTAGAATTTCAGTGTGGAGACCAGGACTTGAAAGGATATCCAAAGAGTAGAACAAGGACAGTAATGTTGGAAGGAAAAAAAAGGCAAAACCAGGCCAGTAAAGATGCAACAGGGTGGGTAAAAGGAGTGTGTTTTCAGGGCTGGGCCTGGCCGGTCAGACTTAGAGAATGCTCCCAGGGCAGGGTGGCTGGCTAAGAGAAGCTGGGGTTTACTGACCAGCAAACTGTCTTGAATCCAGACTACTAGAGATCTCAGGGTCACTCAGAGTTCAGGGTCCTTGTCATCACTCTGCAGGCTGCTGTGATGACAAGCAGCAGGCAGGCTGGGGATTTCCTAGGCCAGTGCCGCCTGGAGTGGAAAATTCCTGCCTGCTCATGTGCTCTTGATAGGAGCCCTCTGCAGGGCTGCAATAGCCCCCTCCCATGAGTGGCCCTCCCGGCTCTCGGCTCTTGGCTCTTGGCAGCGGTCTTGGCACGAGAGAGCGTCATTTTGTTATAATGAATGGGGAGAGGTACCTGTACGCTAGGCTTATTATCACCCCTTAGGCCAAGGGAATGGGCCTCTGGGCAGAATGAGGTTCAAAAACCCTCCCTTTCTCAGCTGTAGGATCTGCAGAGGCAGGTGCTGAGGCCACATTCCTCCCAACCCTTCAGTATGCAGATGGAGAAAAGCTCTGCCCAGGGCCATCTTTCTGGTCGGATGTCAAGGCTAAGTTTAACGAGGCAAGATATTAAAGATACGGGCCTCTGGGAGTACTTTAACTGACACCATGTCAGTCAGGGACAGGGATCTCTTCTCATTGAATAAACATCAGACTCACTGACAGGCTTGATACTTGGCACCAAATATTTCTTTTGCCCAGATTTCACTGTAGGTCAGTCCTATTGATTATAGGACAGTCCTATAATCATTTTAACTCATTACACTTGGGTATTAAAATCCTGCCAATGTGTAATTGAAATTACTACTTTCCTTCTAAAGCATGACTTATTAAAATGAATTCTCATGACCAAGCGCAAGGAAGACAAAAATTTATTTGGAGCTGACTTTTATGTACTATGCACCAGGAATCCATCGTAAGTATTTCCCCCTGAAATAAAGTGTCTGTCTTACTTCTCTGTTTCTGTAATAAAACATCGTGACCAAGGCACCTTATATGAAAAAGCATTTAATTTGGCATATGGTTTTAGAGGATTAGAGTTCATAATGATGGAATGAAGAGACAGCTGAGGGCATACATCTTGACGTGTAACATAGACAGACAGATAGACAGACTGGGCCTAGCATGAAACCTCAAAGCCCAATCCACACTTTCTCCAACAAGGTCATACTTCCTTCTGGGGACCAAGTTTTCAAACATATGGCCCCATTGGAGGCCATTCTCATTCAAACTAGCATAGAGAGTCAGTTGGCACTAAGACTTAGGTCAGTCTTCCACTCTTGACCAGGAATGCCACCTCGAGTTCTGTCACACTCTTCAGCTCCATCAGCCTGTTTGTCTAGTGTGTGATGTCCTTGGCTTTTTAAAATTGTCTTTTGGTGTAGTGCCTGGACTGGCAGCATCAGCTCACCAACTTCACCATGAGCCGCATCAGCACAGCAAGGCTGCGGTCAAGCATCTACCTTCCTAAATGGACTTTGGTTTTCAGAGCCCAGATAACAAAAACTGCAGAGTGGAGCCCCTTTGTCCTGTTGGCTTTACTTATTGAGCTATGATTGATGAGCCAGTACTGACATGGTGAGGGCTCACCCTTGGAGCTGGGCTTTCTATAGGTTTGGCATAGAGTAGTGTCATTGACCCCAAATGACACTAACTGAACATCCTTCCTCCCTACCTCTAACCTGAATGTCTGCTTCCCTTTTTATAGCTGCTGCCTTTTCCAGAATGTTGTGTAGCTGGAACTGTACAGCATGTGGCCTTTTCAGATGGGCTTCTTTCACTTAGCAATGTACATTTCGGTTTCCACCCCCCAACTTTTTAAGACCTGACAGTCCATTTCTTTTTATTGCCAAGTATTACTCTTTTATACACATAGTGTAATTTGTTTCCAACATTTGCTCTCTCCTTCGAGAACATCTTGTTTGGAATTGTTTTTTACTTATTTGGGTCAATGTTTACAACACACTGATTGCTGGATTATACCATAAGCTCATGTTCAACTATGTAAGAAACTGCCAAAGTGTCTTTTGAAGTAACCATCATTTTGCATTCCTCCTGTCACGGAATAAGGATCCCTGCTGCTCTACATCATGGCCAGCATTTGGGATTGTGACCGACTTAGAATGCAGTGGTAGCAGTTTAACTTTTAATACCATATGAGTCAAAATTTTCCTCTTTAAGGATCTTACCAAATTATATACATCACATATTTTGTAAGTTAACTTAAGTGGGATTCACGGAATTTAAGTGTTATCGACCTTTTCAACTGAGAACACATTTGTGCTGGGGCTCTGTAGTAGTTTCACTCTTTTGCTGTGATAAAATACCCTGACCAAAAGCAACATAAAGAAGAAACAGCTTGTTTGACTTACAGGGCCAGGGTACGTACAGTCCATCATTTGGAGGAAATCAAGGCAGGAAGCCAGTCAGCTAGTCACACACAGTGTAGAGCCCGCTGGCTCTCTGCTTTCTTCACTTCTCTGCAGTCGAGAGCACAGCTCCTGAAACCCTGCCTCCCGCAGCTGGGCAGGTCGTCACATCTCTATTAGCTAGACAGTCCACCACAGACGTGCCCACAGCTCAGCTTCATCGAGAGTTAGTTCAGCAAAACTCTCTCCCACAGTGACAGTTAAAACTAATTGGCATAGGTTCTTTGTCTCTTCAGTAAAGTTTAGGGGTTTTCTTTACAAAAAGGTGTGTATGCTTTTTAAAGCACTTGCGGTTAGTTTTTAAAAGTGATTAATTCTGTATGCTTTTGTGCCTGACAGTTTTGCTGAACCATAGTATTTCCGTTTGTTAGTGTATTCTCTGGCACATCTAAACACATGAGGGGTGTGTGTCTGTGTCTGTGTGTGTGTGTGTGTGTCTGTGTGTCTGTGTGTCTGTCCCTAACTCCCATCCTTTGGCTGAGTCCTCAAGTGCAGGGTTAAATAATTGTCAATGATAACTAATATCCTTATTCTGTTCTTAACACTGTCTTGTAACCTTTGCTATTGAATGGAAAGCTTGTTGTAATTTTAGTATACATTTTTTTGTCAACTGGAATTTTCTTATATTCTTAGTGTGCTAAAACTTTTCCTACCTCCTCCTGAAACGATGTTGAATTTTTGTCATATGATTTTTCTGCATCCATTGAGAATGGCTTAAGGTATACTTCTTCTTTTTTTAATGCTGGAGAATCAAGTACAGACCTTGTGGCTGTAGGCAAGCAGCGTACAACCCCACCTGATTTTTCACTTTTAATAAGATAATGTCAAGAATGACATCAAGCAATCCTTGCTTTCTGGGAAAAAAAATCCCAGCTAGGCTATAATATACAATTTCTAATTCTGTTGAATATGCTTTGTGTGTGTCTGTAATTGAGGAGCAGTGACTCTACAATTTCCCACCTATTCCCATTCTTATATTATTGTCTTATAGACTGTTCCTGCTCCCCTGCCTCTCATTCCCCTCTCTCCTCTCCTTTCCTTCCCTCCTCGTTACTGAACAGTTAGTTCCAGGGCTGGGAATAATTCTTTCCTATAAGTTAAAAAGAAGATATTTGTATTTATGAGTGATGAGTATGTATCTGTGACTATATGCAGCACACATCAGGTCCCACAGAAGCCTGAAGAGAATGTTAGGTCCTAGAGCAGGAGTTAAAGCTAGTGAGCTCCTCCCCATGGGTGCTGGGAACTGAATTCAGGACCTCTGGAATAACAGTACATGTTCTTAAATGCTTAGCCATCCCTCAAACATTCATTTGATTTTTTAAAACTTTTATTAATTACACTTTATTCACTTTGTATCCCCCCCATAAACCCCCCTCCTCCCCTCCCAATCCCACCTTCCCTCCCCCTTCTTCACTTCTGCCCTTCCCCAAGTCCACTGGTACGGGAGGTCCCCCTCTCCTTCCTTCTCATCTTAGTCTATCAGATCTCATCAGGAGTGGCTGCATTGTTATCCTCTGTGGCCTGGTAAGGCTGCTCCCCCCCTCAGGGGGAGGTGATCAAAGAATAGGCCAATCAGTTTATGTCAGAGACAGTCCCTGTTCCCATTACTATGGAACCCACTTGGACACTAAACTGCTATGGGCTACATTTGTGCAGGAGTTCTAGGTTATTTCCATGCCTGGTACTTGGTTGAAATATGAGTCTCTGGAAAGACCCCTGTGTTCAAATTTTCTGATTCTGTTGCTCTCCTTGTGGAGTTCCTGTCATCTCCAGCTCTTACTATTTCCCACTTCTTACATAAGATTCCATGCACTCTGCCCAACAGTTGGCCATAAGTCTTAGCATCTGCTTTGATAGTCTGCAGGGCAGAGCCTTTCAGAGGCCCTCTGTGGCAGGCTCCTACCTTGTTTCCCGTTTTCTTCTTCTTCTGATGTCCATCCTCTTTGCCTTTCAGGATGGGGATTGAGCGTTTTAGTCAGGGTCCTCTCTCTTGATTAGTTTCTTTAGATGGACAGATTTTAGTAGGTTTATCCTATATTACATGTCTATATGAGTGAGTATATACCGTGTGTGTCTTTCTGCTTCTGGGACAGCTCACTCAGGATGACCCTTTCCAGTTCCCACCATTTACCTGAAAATTTCATGATTTCCTTATTCTTCATTGCTGAGTAATATTCCATTGTGTAGATGTACCACAATTTCTGTATCCATTCCTCAGTTGAGGGGCATCTTCATTTGAATTTTTTATAGAATGTGTTGATGCAGCCATGTTTTATATAACTCAGTTTGGTACTGTAATTCAGCTTTCACATTAGTCTCTTAATAATGTTTATATAATTTTTTTTAAAAACCTTGTCTTATTTAAAATTATTTTGATGTATTTATATTTTAAAAAATGTTGTTTTTAAGACGGGATCTACATAGCCCTGGCTGTCCTGGGACTCATTATGTAGGCCAGGCTAGCTTCAGACTCAGAGCTTTGCCTGCTTCTGCTCTGCTTCCCAAATGTTGGGATTAAAGGTGTGCACTGCTCTGCTAAGGCATTTTTATTTTTGTGTGTGTGTGTTTTGCCTTCATGTGTCTTAGCATCATGTGCTTGTAGTGCCCGTAGAGGCCAGAGGGGGGCATCAGATCTCCTGAGAGTGAGTTACAGGCAGTTGTGTGGGTGCTACTCTTCCAGGTCCTCTAGAAGAGCAACCAATGTTCCTAACCACTGAGCCATCTCCAGCCCCTTTAATCTGCTCTTGGATTCATTTGAATTTATATTTTCTGGTAAAATTAATTAATTTATACTTAGAAATTTAGTGATATAAAGGCTATGCGTGGTATTTAGGATTTGGGGGTGTCTTTTATACTTTTGGGAGTCCTTGTGAGCTTGTTAGTGCCATTTTTCTACTTCTCTGGGTGTGTGCTGTGCTGATTCTGGAGGCTGTTCACAAATCTCTCCTCTGGGCTCGCGACTGTTTCACAGTGCCTCCTTTTTATCAGGTGTGAGCGTCTCACTGAAGTATAACACGCACACAGAGGTGCACGCTTTACAAGATGCAGAAATTCTCACGAAGCAAATGCACCTGTGTGACCAGGTTTGTGAGAGAGCACTGATAGGACCTCCGAACTCACTGATAGGACCTCCGAACTCACTGATAGGACCTCAGAACTCACTCCTCCGTAATGAGCCATGGTCGTGGCGTTTAATGCACAGTTGATGTTTGTATAAGCTGAGTCACATCCGTACTGTCCTTTCTGAAACAGTCTTCCCTCTGGCTGGGTGTAAGGTGTGGGCTGCTAGCGGTTTCCCTGAGCTCTTGTGGATTACCTCCACTAAAAGGGCACAGAACAGGTCTTCCCATGCTGAGCCTTCAGGGGCCATCTCCTCGTTCTTGGTTTTGTGTAAGAAAGGTGAAGTTGATAACGGTAGAGGTCACACGGTGGAGTGAGTGGTCATGCTCCATGGCTACCGTATTGCTGAGTCAGGGTGTGGTAGCCCTAGCCACTGAGAGACTGGGCATGCCTTCACCTGGGAAGCCCAGTTCCAAACTCTCAGGAAAAGAACGGCAAGGTTTAGGCTGGTGAGATGGCGAAGCAGATGATGTTCTTACAGGGCAAGCCAGATAGCCCAAGGTCACCTCCCAAAACCTGCATGAAAGTGAGATGAGAAAGTCGGCCCCACAGAGTTGTCCTCTGATCTCCCCAGATCCACCTTGCATCTGCACACACACAGTCATTTTTTAAAAATGTGTAATTTTGAACACTGACCATCTTCTTTCTCCCTGGAAGATCATTGCTTGGTTTCTTTAACATCTCTGCATCCCCTGGGCCTTAGATTAGAGAGGGCAGGACAGCTATGCACGAGGGACCGACGGCCTTGGAAGCCGGCCGTGTACTTGTTCTTTCGTACTCTCCCGTGGCCCTCCTCCTCTCTCCACTTTCTGCCTGTTCACATAGGGTCCTTCAACTCTTCCCTTACCCCCCATCTTCCTTATCTGTGTTCTTCCCTCCCCCACCCCTCTTCCTCTCTCGGCTCTTTGCATTCCACGGTGATGCCCTCTGACTTCTCCCTCTGCCTCTGCAGGAGATGGGCTGGCAAGGATCAAGCAGGAGAAGTCCGAGTGGCAGTCGCAGACCGCGGCGTCTCAGGCCGCGCTCCCGGAGAAGGACAAGGAAAACATATGTCAGCAGCAGGGCGGCCTCCCTCCATGTCAGACCGCGGGGCGGCCCTGGGCTCTGGGGTCCCAGGAGGAGACTGGGGGTGCACGGTGGGCGCCGCCTCCTGAGCAGGATGCACGGCCGGCCCCTCGAGTTCCGGGGACCGCTGCAGGGCCCCTGAGCCCCGCACTCTCCGCGGGCGGGGCTCACTTCGTGTGTGTGGATTGTGGGAAGAGGTTCAGCTGGTGGTCATCCCTGAAGATCCACCAGCGCACGCACACGGGCGAGAAGCCTTACCTCTGCGGCAAGTGTGGCAAGAGCTTCAGCCAGAAGCCCAACCTGGTACGCCACCAGCGCCACCACACCGGCGAGAGGCCCTTCTGCTGCCAGGAGTGCACGCGGCGCTTCAGTCAGAAGCAGCACCTGCTCAAGCACCAGAAGACCCACTCCCAGCCCGCCACCCACACCTGTCCCGAATGCGAGCGCTGCTTCCGGCACCAAGTGGGCCTCCGCATCCACCAGCGAGCGCATGCCCGAGAGCGCCTGGGCGCCCGCGTCGGCTTGCCCGAGGTGCTGCGGCCTGCCGCTGCTCGCCCCCGGGCCTGTGGCCCGCGCTCGGGATCCCCACGCGGGCGCCCTGAGTGGGTCTGGCTGGGGCTCTGCCAGGGTTGGTGGGGCCAGCATGGGGTCCGGACGACAACCCACAGCCGCTTGGGTGCCAGCGAGCAGCGCCAGTTCATCTGCAACGAGTGCGGCAAGAGCTTCACGTGGTGGTCGTCGCTGAACATCCACCAGCGCATCCACACGGGCGAGCGGCCCTACGCCTGCCCGGACTGCGGCCGCCGCTTCAGCCAGAAGCCCAACCTCACGCGGCACCTGCGCAACCACACGGGCGAGCGGCCGCACCCTTGCCCGCACTGCGGCCGCAGCTTCCGCCAGAAGCAGCACCTGCTCAAGCACCTGCGCACGCACCTGCCCGGTGCCCAGGCCGCGAGGTGTACCAGCTGTGGCCAGGACTGCCCCAGCCGTGCGGCACTGCGGGCTCACCAGCGTGTGCATGCCGCTGCGGAGCTGCTGCGCTCGCGGTCTGCGGGCCAGGGTGGCGTGCCTAGCTCTGAGTCACAAGCTGAGGCTGTCCAGAGTGTGTCTGTGACGCCCCAAGGTCCCCAGGGTGCTAAGGGAATGCTGCGCGGCCAGGGGTGCGAGCCCGCGGCTGCGTCCAGCGAGCAGCGCCAGTTCATCTGCAACGAGTGCGGCAAGAGCTTCTCGTGGTGGTCCGCGCTCACCATCCACCAGCGCATCCACACGGGCGAGCGGCCCTACGCCTGCCCGGACTGCGGCCGCCGCTTCAGCCAGAAGCCCAACCTCACGCGGCACCTGCGCAACCACACGGGAGAGAGACCCTACCTGTGCACGGCCTGTGGCCGTGGCTTCCGGCAGAAGCAGCACCTGCTCAAGCACGAGCGTGTGCATGGTGGAGCTCGGGCACCGCACCCCGGCCCGGAGGAGAAAGAGCAAGAGCGAGCCCCGTGCAGCTAACAGTGGTGGTGGGTGAAACGTGTGCCTGCAGGGTGTCGAAGGGGAACTGGAGGGCCAGGAAGGCTGACTCGATGCTCCCCGAGGTAGGCTCCTCGAGGTTCTGAGGCCTGAGGATAGCGTACTAGAAAACATCTGAAAGGAAGCCTGAAAAGTGCCTAGTGGGGAGGTGAGGTCAAAGCCGCAAGTGTCTGAGATAGTCTCTGTTACTACACCGTTCAGAATTGGCCCCCAGCCTCAGGCATCTAGTACGGGGCTGTTGGGGGCCCTAGGAAAGCCACCTCGTGTGAAATGGCCTGGAACTGATCAGTGGTGGCGCTAACCTGCCACACAGGCTACAAGATGGTCAGCGCTGTGGTCCGGGTGGGAAGGTGGTCACCGACTCCAGGATACCAATAGAACAAGGGCTGTGGCTAAGAAGGGGTTAATTATTTCCCCAGCACCAAGGACAGTGCCACCCACGGAGGTGCTGGAGGGTTTTGATGGTCTCCATCCGAGTGTGTCACTGCTCCAGCTGCTGGGACTGGCAATGTGTACGATGGTTAGGGTTGGGTGCAGCCGGGCGCTCTCACCCATAGCTTGGCTGCTTGGGGCAGCGTCTGTGCCAAGTGTGACTGGCTTGGGTCCCTACCTACACCGGTGTTGGAGAAGAATGAAGGCCTGAACATTCTATGTGGTGTCATGTCACTGTTCTTTCTGAATCATCCTTACTGGAGCCCAGACGTGCAAGCTATGATTCCAAGGTGTGTAGTGGGCGCTAGTGGGGGGGGGGGCGCTTTGCCATTGGTATATATCCCACTCCTATGTGATGCCCAGGCTGGGGGCTTGTGTTCTCTCTGCTACTCTCCTTCATGTCAGCTGCATATCTCTTCCCTTACACCGATCCCCCGAGCCCCGCTCTGTCCCTCTGAGGTCACCTCTCACGTCCTGGTGCTGACAGAAGCCAGGGCTCCAGCCCAGGATGTATCCTTCCCAGAAGATGAGTACCAGGGCTGGATACCCTGATAGGAGGAGGAAGGTGGGACCCAGGAAAGTTCTGGAGGAGGCAGAACTTCCCTTGCTGGTCTCCCAGACGCCAGCAGTGCCCGGCGCAGCCTGGCTTCCAGTAACTGCTCCAGATGGAGAATGGTTTGGCCTTTTATTTGGACATGCTTTAAGCTATAGTGTTATACAAAAGAAACCCTTGCAGTCGCTGTGCCTCTCCTGAGGAGCACAGTGAAGCTCAGCAGTAAACCTGGCCTGTGCTTTCCTGGTTAAGGTGTTTGATCCTAAACTGGGTGAAGCCCTACAGTGGGTGAGGTGTCCTGATCAGCTCTGAGGACCATCAGGAGCCCCCTCAACCCCACTGGCCCACCCCAGGAGCAGCTACTCCCCTGCCTCCTTGTAATGCCTCGCCCTTCCTACCCAGCCTGCCCTGCCCTCCCCAGCAGATGTCCAGCGTCTTGCATTACATCAGAACCTAATTCTTCCATGCCTCTTCCTCTTCTTCATCTAGCAAATCCTGAACCTCGTCTGAAAAGGTGACCTATTCCTGAAAGACACGCCAGGACATTGTCATTTGGGGCTAGAGAGCCATTGCCTTCAGGGTAGGCTCTGCAGAAACACTGGCTCCCTGCAGAGCCAAATGGCCAAGAGGTGGTGCAGGCAGACACTGAAGAGATCGGGCACACTGTCCATCGGAATAGGTTCTCTCCCACAAATGGCCTGTGCTCAATGTCAGATCACAGTGATGCGTCAGTAGGACTCAGGGTTAATGAGGTCTAATTGTAGCCCCTGCTTGTGCAGGTTGGTGAGGACGCTTGTTCACTTTTCCTGGGTAAGGACTCTTTCACAGGGTCACAGGGCAGACGAGGTCAAATCCCACAGAGCGCTGAATTACTGGTTTATATGCGTATCGACCAGGTGGGGTCTGCAAAGCATTGGCTCCTTATGGGCCTGTGTACCAGGCCTTGTGCTTGATGGGTAGAATATGGCCTCTGCCCTTGCTGAAGGACTTCTGGGGAATCGTTTTCGTATGTACGACTTGTCACAGTCAACTTTTGAAAAAGTGGTTTTCAGTGCTGGCCTTGCTAGCAAGACATTCTAATTCATTATCTCATCTAACCCCATGTGGTCAGTGATGTGGGCTAAGCCATGACATTGTCGTTTGACATGAAGGAAGTGGGGTTGGTGGTTCAACTCATCCACCAGTGATGTATGTTCTCCTGGATGGCAGGCCCAGGCCTCTTCTCAGCCTAAGGTCAGTTGTCACAACTCTTCACTCCTCCAAGGAAAGCACAGAGTTGTCAACTTCGGTTCTGGTTCCCTTTCTTTGTAAAGTGGGTCAGTGAATATCAAAGAGGTGGCATAAAATCAAAGACAAGGTTGTACCTGTCCTAGTGGCTTATGATGTGGGTCGCTGTGCAGCATCGCAGAGATCAAGGGAGCTCATGGGAGCCAGTCCACAAGAAAGGAAACAAGACTCCACAGGTTTCTATTCTGTGCTCTGCCAGGTAAGTGAATGCCAGCCTGCAGTGGTGCTGTGGCCACGCTTGCTAAAGGTCACATGAGCTAGTTGGGGCTGGAACCTGGAACCATTGTCTTCTGAGAGAAGCAGGCTGAAGTCAGGCAACCTAAGGCACATGACGAGTAGCTGGCCTTTGGTGAGCAACAAAAGCATCAAGTTCAAAAGCAAAGGAGTCAGGCTCCTTGAAGGGTTTGGTGTGCACTGCCCAGGCTCATGGGTCAGTCTGCCATGGGGAGCTGATGACGGGAGGTGACAGGTGGGATACAGAGGCCCGAGGATCCAGTAGGTACACTAGCCTGGAGAGCCAGCAGATCCTTCTCAGGGGGCTTGGTGGAAACTGACATTTCAACATGGTCCGAGTTTCATGAGTTTCTTTGACTTTTTCATAGGTGGAGTATTGGAGCCAAAAATAGTATGTTGCCATTGTCCTTCCTGGATGAGGCAGGCAGTGAAGAGAAGGAAATGAGGAATGTCTTAGGCCGTCCTTTTGGGGAAGAAGGATGGAGTCTCCTGGGTTTCCAGGCTGGGGGAGTGTCCTAGGCCACCTCTGCTTTACAGCACCTTCTGCAATGATGAAACATACGATAATGTTATCCACTATGGCAGTCACGGGCACATGCGCCTACTAAACAGAACTGGAGGCTGGGGATGGCGCTCAGCTGATAGAGTGCTTGCCGAGCATGCACGAAGCCCTTCGGACTGGCCCCAGAACCCCATAGAGTTAGCCATCACGGTGCACATCTGTTTGTCTGCCCTTGGGAGGTGGAGGTAGGGGGATCGGAACCTCAAGGTTATCCTTTGTCTACATAGCAAGTTTGAGGCTAGCTTGGGCTACAATGAGACCCTTCTCAAAAATAAAAAAAGCAACAAAGCTCGCTCTCTCACACACACTCACACACATACAACTGGTTTCTGAATTTCAACTGGAGTTTTATATGACAGCTACATGGGGCAGGATGCACCCCTAGTACTAATGCTGCTTCTGTTGGCAAAAACCTGGACGCCTTGCCTTCCCCTCCCCCTTTCTCCCCTCCTCTTTACCCACAGCCCAAGTCTAGAAAAAGGTGGGTTTTCTTGTTAATGGGGGGTTGAAGCTTGGGGACCTCGGCAGTGAAGCACACAGCAAACACTCCCTAGGAGGTTGCCGTTATGATTCTAATAAGCTCCATGTGTAGCTACTTGAAGAGCATGTGCACTATGGAAAAAGGCAAGGGAAGAGAGGGGTTTTCCTGTTGAGCTCAGTCTCTAAAAAGAATTGCATCACTCGGTTTTTCTGTTGCTGTGTTGTGAAAAAAAACCTGAGAACAAGGAAGGCAATCCTAGCCTAAGGGCATACATGGCTGGGTTCAGTCCATGCTTAGCTGGCTCCAGTTCTTTGAGCCCGAGATGAGACAATATCATGGTGGGAGTGTCTGGCAAAGGAGGCTGCTCATCTTAAGGCAGCCAGGAAGCAGAAAGGAAGCAGGAAGACAGGAAGGGGCCAGGGTAGGCACTAGTTTTTCAGACACTACTTCATTTGGGGGTCCCTTAAAGCTTATACCTCCCTTCCAGCCCCCCAACCCCAGGTAGGGGAAAAAGGTTATAAGGGAAAGAGGACGTAGCTCTCTTTATTGCTTCCTCCTGGGTAGAGTCACAGGATTCTTTGGGGGGGGGTGCCAATATCTGTCTTCAGGAAGTCCAGGTACCCAGCAAACCAGCAAACAGTCCTCCTCTGCCTTCTCCATGCTAGCATGCTTTTTTCCCTCTGGGGAAAAAAGCTTTTATACCCCTCAAAGTCCTCAGACTTCAACTAATTCCACCTGGCAAAGACCACGCTCCGCAGGAGACAACAGGTGTGGACAAACTAAAACCTCCAACTTGAAATTTTAACAAAAACATGTTTCCCTGCCACAAACCAAAATGTCCACAACAGGTCAGGGACAAGGTTTATCATTCATGGGCACCCCCTCCCCCACACCCAAGGGTCTACTTCCTCCAACCGGGCCCGGTCTCCAGCACTCCTCTACCTCCCAATACGGCTACCACTGCTGCTGCATCCATCAGTGGATCAATCTTTACGCTCCTCAGGCAGCTGTTCTCCCCCTGTGGGTCATGACCCCTTTGAGGTTGCCTGTCAGATATCCTGCCAATCAGAGATCCTCCCTGTCATACTTATATGATGATTTTATAATAGCAAAACCACAGTTGTGAATTAGCAAGAAACAATTTTATGGTTGGGGGTCCCCACAAAGGAGGAACTGTATTAAGGGGTCTCAGCCTTAGGAAGGCTGGGAGCCACTGCTGGAGGGAGGGCCACATTGCATCGAAATGGTAGCTGGAATGAACCAGTTCCCCATGTTCAGTACGCCCTGTTTAAAAGTCTGGCTGAACTGATGTTCTAGGTGCCGTCTTGGATTTTATGAGGAAAGAACTTGGGAACAACAGAGGATGCCTCACAACCTGAGCCCTACATCTATACTCAGGTCTCTGCAGCCCCTGACACCCCTCTGTGATTTAGCTTGCAGCTCCTCTGTCTTTTCCCTGTGGAGATAGCAAATGTACCATGTAGACACACATTATTCACTGAATGGACGTTGAAAAGGACTCATTACATGATGGACTCTGGGGTTACAGGGATGCCCAAAACACAGTCCCCACTCTTGGAAATTCACAACTCCATGGGGCCAATGCAAGTGCGCTAACTCCCAAATTGAAATCGGCACCAGGCATCTGGATGGGCTGTAGTGCGGGCCATGGCCAGTTGCTTGGGGATAGAAAGAGCTCTTGGAAGGAAGTGAGAGGTAGATGCCCTGAAGATTTACTCCTGTGCAGGAGGCTCTCAATGACGGCACTTATCTGTAGGAGTATCAGGGCAGTTCCAGAGTCACCTGTTTGCCTGGTGTGCCCCAGGGGGAATGCAGCACAGGGCCTTGAGCAGGGCTTGCTGAGTTAGCTCTTTCACCCGCACAGAAAGGCTCCCCAAGCCTTTGTTAGGCTCTCCAGTCCAGCTGCTGCCCGCCCCTTACATGATGGTCATGGCCACATGCGGGCCACTGTCCTGCCTGGATAAAGAAGCATGCCTGTGTATGCAGACTGTTGTCAAACTGTCCTGTGACGTTTGTCACAGCACGTGAAGTTAGGCTTGGGCTGGGGACAGGTGCTCACACGTGGAATAGGAGGACAGAAATGACTCAGCCGAAATTCAGCCTTCATCCCTGTCACTCCCCTCAGAGACGTGGGGTTTTAGAGGGCATCTCCTGTATCCCATCCCTGCCCACGGTTCTGATTTCTTTTCCTGTACTGGCACCGCTTACCTGGAAAATGCATTGAAGAGTGTGGTGCTGTCCTGCCACATATTCCTATATTTGCTTTTGAAAACCCTGGTCTTCCCTAAATGTCCCTGTTTCTCCTGTGGCCTGCTGAAGAGATGAAACCCAGTTGACAGCAGTTGACAGCTCCTGCAGTAGGAGCTGGACATGGAGGAAGTGTGCCTGTCAGAGATCAGGAGGTCCTGTTGTCTAAGCCACAGGAACTCATAACCGGGCCCTGGTATGGTTAAACATCCTGGTAGATTCGATCAGTTGGCTCTCTTGTCCCTCGCTTTTGCCTGAGTCTAAGTAAAATGCCAGTGTCCCGGGGATGTTTAACTCAGAGGTCTATGGACCTTTTGAAACTGTTCAGGGATGTGTGTGGTGGTGGTGGGGTGAGCTGCTCTTGGTGAGCTGGCTCCTCTAGAACAAGTCAAGCTGGGCCTGCTGAGACACTGGCCCTAAGTACGGTGAATGGTGGGCATGGCATCCAGTTCTAGTGTCCCAAGCAAGGGGATGCTTTTACTGTCTCATGGCCCTCTGGAAGAGTTCTGCAAGCACACTTGGCCCTTGAAGAGGACCCTTATAGTATCCGAGTATCCCAAAGTCCCATCACAAACAGCTTTCCTACCTACCAAGCCATGCCCAGCACCTTCTGGAAAAATCTCTGCCGGTCCCGGGAAGTCTGCTTTCTCTGTCTGGCCGCCGCTGAGGGGCCACAGAGAAAGTCTGTCAGATGCTTCTCTCTCGGCTCAGGTCTGTTTCCTTATCAGTGTACTGTGAACTCTAAGGCCCTTTCTTGTGTGACCTTTGCCACTTTTAAAGTTGTGAGTGTTGGAGGAAGCTACCCTTGTGTTTCGTTTTTAAAAAATACTTTGCCGTCTATAGATGCAAGCAGATAATTGGAAGTTCCCATGAGATAATACATGGGAAGGGGTTGTGTAAAAAACAAGGGTATGGGCAGGCAAGGGGTATTGTTGGAGGGCAGTGGGAAACTGAAATTTAATGCTACCTCTCGAACCTGCTGCTTCTCTGGATTCATTCACTCACTCATTCACTCACTCATTCATTCACTCATTCATTCATAGCTTCACTAATAGCACTGGCCTGCATGGAATTCAGTTTGTAGACAAAGCTGGCTTCGCACTCAAGAGATTTGCCTGTGCCTCAAGTGCTAGGATTAAAGGCATGTCACCATGCTGGCCTCCCTGGGGGTTACAAACAGTGCTTTTAGTGGACAGCTTTGATCACAATAGACTGAGCACTTCGTAGGGCTTTGGCTCTGAGCCTCTCCAGCACTAGGCATCCTGCTTTTCTCCTTTCTTGCTCCTCCGGAATTGCACGATGCTCCCAGAGTCCCAGACCGCTTCCCAGGAGCAGAGACAGGTACAGAGCCTAGTCAGGCTGCTTTTCTGCCTAGGGATGAGGGAGATGAAGACTGCCCTCCTCCGGAAAGGGAGCTGGCTGGGGATGTGGGTGTCGGAGCACGGTGACCCCTCCTGCAAGGCAATGCTGCTCCCAGAACCTGGACCCTTTTCTTTCCCGGGCAGGGGCGGCGCTCGCCGTCTCCCCTTTCCCCAGCAGCCAGGTCGTCGGCAAGTTAGACCTCCCAGCCTCACGGGGCTGCTGTGCGGCTGCGGAGACGCTGGCGACTGCGGCGCTGCAGCAGAGGCAAGGGCTCCAGAGGCGGCGCCACGTGAGTCCCCGGCTAGGGCCCTTGACCAGGAGGGAGGTTACCGTATTTATCGAGGCCAGTGCGGGGACCCTAGGGGCCAGGTCACTGCGGGCGAGCTACCGTATTTGCCCGGAGCCCTGCAGCCCTTTCTGGGAGTGGCGATGCCGCGACTTAATTACTTGTTTACTCGGTCTCACGCGATCTCGCGAGGGACGCTGCGGGCACGAGGGTGGGTGGATTGCATGCATTCCAACAGGAGCTGGGGCTGGGAGCCCAGCAGGGTGGGCTGCAGCAGCTGAGTGGCGGCCTATGTATGTTTCCCAGGGGTGGGGATACGCACAGCTTATCACATTTCTCCAGGGGCTCTGGGAACCCTGGAACTGGCAAGGCTGTGAGAGTCGCGCGGGGTGGGGTGAGCTCTTGCGATTAATGCAGGGGTTTGACCAGACCAATGCTGCAGGAGGCTTTTCGGCTCTATGGGTGGGGGTGGGGAAGGAGGGGCACAGCGCTGCAGGAGACTTAACTGTATGTTCCTTGGGCCGCTCAGACTCCTGAGGAAAAAGCTGCTGCAGACTGCAGAAGGGGAGCAGGTTGGGCTGTGAGTGGGGCACCTGATGGAGGAACTTGGGGGAGGGATGGAAAATCTTGGCTTTCGACCCTCTGGGCCCTGGCCAGAGGTCTAGTAGGCAAAGTGGGGAGTTTGCTCAGCGACAGGACCAGGCTCAGATTGGCCAACGAGACTTTGACAGTCTGACTTTGCAAATGCCAGCACAGCTTGTTTGGGGAGGGATTATGGGTGGAGTCATGGCAATGGGTCCTAGTCCCTTTCTCCAGGGTGCGTGCCAATTCCACTGGTGGCCTGAGGTAGGGGAAGACAGAGGCTGTCTCTGCGACCCCACTCTGCAGGTAGCTTGACTGAGGCTGGAAGTGTGGAGACCTGCAGGGAGGTTTGAAGGGAAACCTGAATGAGCTTCTTTGATGGATGGAGGGAGTGAAGTGGGTCTCAGTTGCCCTACACGGCATGGGAGTGGGAGCGAGACACCATGCCCTATGGAGCTGTGTCCCTTTGAGAGTGGGTTCCTGTGGCTGGGGTGTTGGTAGGCGTGTGTGTGTGTGTGTGTGAAGGGGTGTTCAGTTGATAGGCAGCTAATACAGTGGAACGTTTTCAGTTTCAACGGTGAGTCGGGAGACTTGGGGCCTGGTCCTGGCTCACCTTGCCCTTGCAGTGTGACCTTGCACAAGTATTTTGGCTTCACATAGCTTCAGTTGTTCCATTTACAAACCTGGGCTCAGCAACACTGTTCTGTCCCTTATTCAAGGATGCTGTGAGAGTACTGGGAAGCTGGTTGAGAGGTGCACAGTGGCCTGGGGAGATAACCTTCCCACGGGTGTGCAGGGAGCCCAGTGCTGGGCATGTTTGCTGAGCACTGAGTGCGGTGCTCAGTCTCTGCACCAGGCCTGGCTCCTCCAGAGTTCTTGCTTTGGTTCAGTGACCCGCAACTTTTCAAGCTTATGATTCATCCTGTTAGGCAGTGGGAAAACCTTTAATGTTTAACCCGGGGAGGTCACTTGCAAGTTTACAGGGGTTTATTTCTATTTCCTGCTTTGGTGACCTTCCTTCCTGCAGGTTTTGGATCACTTCCTATCTTTGGGCATCTGACTTGAGAAGCTGTTCCCGAGAATTCCCCATCAGTTTTCAGCCTGTGCCTTGTGTGTTGCACGCACAGGGCTTGATGTGTCTTGTAACAGAAGGTAGCTCTCTGTTCTTGAGGTGCTGGGGCCGAGTCAGAGGTAGCATGACCACCTTATTCCAGGGTGATGATGACAGTCACAGGGCAGCAGATTGCAAAGGGATGTTGGTGAGGACAGGGAAGGCTTCCAGGAGGAGGTGACTCCTGAGAAGAGCCCAGAACGACAGGCTATTGAAACAAAATAAAATTGTAGATGGGGAATCACTGGAGGTTGTGGGTAGTGCGTGGTGGTTCCTCGGGCTGGAGAATGGCTGACTCTGGGGTCTTCCTCGACCCCTCTCTCTGCTTCTGCTTCTCCAGGGGCTGGTGACTGCATTCGGAAGTGCCCATGACAGAGCTGGTGTCCTCCAGGGGAGGGTCCCCTACAGGGGAGGAGGGTCTAGGGGACGACCACGGCCTGGTTATCCACCACCCGGCAGAGGAACAGCCCCACCGCTGCCCCCTGTGCGGGCAGACCTTCTCCCAGCAGCCCAGCCTGGTGCGGCACCAGAAGGCGCACGTCGGGGCGGGCCGCGCGGCCGCCTTCGTGTGTCCCGAGTGCGGCAAGGCCTTCAGCGTCAAACACAACCTGGAGGTGCACCAGCGCACACACACCGGCGAGCGGCCCTTCCCCTGCCCCGAGTGCGGCCGCTGCTTCAGCCTCAAGCAGAACCTGCTCACGCACCAGCGCATCCACAGCGGCGAGAAGCCGCACCAGTGCGCGCAGTGCGGCCGCTGCTTCCGGGAGCCGCGCTTCCTGCTCAACCATCAGCGCACCCACGCGCGCATGCCCACGCCGCACCCGCGCCGTCCCGGGGTCTTCGGGGAGCGGCGACCCTACTTCTGCCCCCGCTGCGGCAAGAGCTTCGCCCGTGAGGGCTCGCTCAAGACCCACCAGCGCAGCCACGGCCACGGGCCCGAGAGCCAGGCGGCCCCTTTAAGCCGTGTGCTATGACCTGTGGGAGACCCGCCGCCATCAGCTGCCTGAGATCCGGGAGTCACATCCAGGGGTGCTGAGTTGCGGTCCCCTCTCTGGATGGGCTCCTGGGGGAGGGGCAGGGCCGGATTGGGGTGTTAAAGGGGCTTGGGCCACTCCCTTTCTTTTTCTCCCCCCTGGCTGGCTGCATGCATCTGCTTTGGGCACCGGCGTTGGTTTGCCTCTTCCAGCTCCTGCTGCCTAGAGCAGGTGAGATTTACAGGGTTGGCCAGAGTCCCCTGAGGTGTGGGGGTGGTGGGAGTGGAGTGGGTTTGTAGTGTTGGCTACCTAGGTCAGAAGTGGGCGGTGGGGGCTGTGTTGGTCTCCGTGACTTGCTGCTTACCTAACCTTCATTCCCAGCATGGCAGCCTTGGAAGCGACTTGGAGAGGGCCACTTTCCACAGCTCCCAGACCCAAGCTTTGTCCACAAAGCCTCAGCCTCCTGCACCCCCTGTCCGGTGGCCTTGAGAAGCCATTTCACACCGTGTCTCAGTTTGCTTATCGTAAGTTGGGCATGAGGATGAGAGACTTTTTCTCTCCCCTGAGGTGTTGTAAGGCTTTGCTGTTATCAGAGGGTGAAACCATTTGTCCAGAGTTTTACCAGGTAGTTCTGGGTTGTGCTCTGCTCCATTCTTGGAAGGACCCAGCCCAGGCGCTTGGAAATCCACACTCATGCTTGTGACGGTGTATCCGCACGTCTGCGCAGAGATGTGGGCTACGGTCAGGAAAGCCTACTCTGGATTGGGTGGTGACTAGCTTCACCCTAGGGGCTCTGGTGGCTTTGCACTGAGTCCTAGAGACAAACAGTTGCTGTAGAGAGAGCAGGGGTGCAGAAAGATGACTTCAAGATGGCAAGGACTAGGATTTGTTCCACAGAGAACTCTGTGTTCAGAGGGAAGTGACCCCAGACATTGTCAGGAGTGCAGGGAGCTCCATCAGACCTGTGATGTAGAATGAGGACAGAGGCCCTGGGAGGACAGATGGATGGACAGAGCCTTGAAGTTCATTCAGGAAGACGATGGAGGCCTCAGTGAAGGTGACCAAGGTCACCTGGTAAGAATGCTAGCTAGGGCTTGGTTCCAAGACCCATGTTTGCAAGTTATCACACTGAGGCACTGGCCTTTTCTGCCATTTGACAAACAAGGAAACCAAGATTGGCCCAAACTTGTTCCTAATTACAGCTAGCAATTAGTGCTACAGTGGGCAAGTCTGGGCTCTGTTTTGGACCCTAAAACCCTTCAGCTTTATTGTTGAATTATGTAGCTGAGAGAACATGAGCGTGTGGCCAGGGGCCAGGTGATAGGCCCTTATGGGCAGGGCATCACTAGGTTTGTGGGGGCATGAAGTTAGGATGCTGGGGGTGCTCTGAGGGGGGCACTGTTCCCTGAGCCCTTGTTTCCTGCTAGGCCCGTGGTTGGTGCTAGAGACTGTCTGTTGCCTTTGCTCTCTGTCTTACCTCAATGCCACATGGCTCCCCTGGAATCATTGCCTTCTACGTGAGATTCCCGGTGGTTATTGCCATGTGAACTAGTATTTGGTGGTAGAAAATATTACATAAGGTCCTGGGCTATCAGGAGCTAGTCAGTCAAAGAGAACCAAAGGTTTCTCATGTGTAAACAGGCTAATAATTTTGGCAGTGTGTGGTTGGGGAGTGGTGGTAGAAGGGTTCTCCTAAAGTCCCAGATAGATTCAGAATGGGTCAGGTGAAGGTGTCCACAAAGTCCAGATGGGCGGGAAGGCAGGACTGGTTACTACAGTATACTAACTGTGCTCTCTTTGCTTCTGTGAACAGGTACCAAGTGGACAGGATCTCGTGGCCCAGGACGTGCAGGGCACACCTGGGCATGGAGACTTAAAATGAAGTCCCATGGGGGCCTGGCATCTGGCATCTGGGCGTGAGGACATATCTCCTCAGAAGACTAACCTGAAGATGTCCTGTTTTGGTAGAACCTGGAATTAGAGAGTGATTCCACACCTTGGTGGAAAACTCCCTAGATCTGACTTGAGTCACAGCTGGACAAGCCTCCTTTCGGCTTCCTGACCCTAGACCTCGACACAGGTGTGTAGATGCCTGAGTCTCTGACACCTCTCTGTATGGAGAGCTGGTTTATCTTCCAGCCTGGCCCACCGCTTGGTTGAAGGGCAGGGACAAGAAGCGACTGGCCTGCCCTATTGCAGCAAGTTGATGGCAGCCTGGCTTGAGAGGCAAAACTTCCCTTAAGATGTGAACAGCACCTGAAGGCTTCCATGCACTTGCTGAACTAGAAAGATTAACACTTGAGGGGCAAGTGTCTTTTTACAACCTGATGGAGGCTATGGACCTTCTCCTAGGAGAACGCACATACCCACGTAGCTCTCACAATGCCAAGCAGTTTCAGGAGCCTCCAAACTCCAGACTAAAGACCTCAGCCCTGGGATTTCATGTGCCATCCTGTCCTTACTCCATACAAGTGTGTCTCTCTCCTCCTGGTCTCCTCTTGTTTGGGAATAAAGAATGCTGAGGCTGAGCCCCTTTCAGTCCATCCATCCCTTCTTCACAGTCTTAAGGGTACACCAGACTTGTGGAACCTGGCTTCCACCCCAGACATTGCCAAGGCTCCTGAACTTGGTTCCTTTTTTCCTTTTTGTGTCTGCCAGGCTGTGACATTTTACAATGGAGCCCTCAGCTTAGTCATGGCTCTACTTCACTGTGGAGTCTCAAGGGGAGGTTGGACTGCTGAATGGATGGTAAATCATTTTCTCTGTCTATTCCAGGGAGAAAGAATCCTGCTTCCATTACCCACATGCACCTGTCAGGCCTCCTGGCTGGCCAGGTGTTCAGCTCCAGGCAGGTGTCATCTGGGACAGTGAGGCTAGAGAAGCACCAGAGACCAACACATGGTGCCTATAGGTCTAGGCAGTGGGAGATGCCAGTGGAGGAGTTGTGTGTGTCCCTAAATGAGCAGGGGTACAAGTAGGGGTGTGGGTCTTGGCCCACTGCTGATCAAGGACTCATATCTTCACATGTGAGCAGGTCAGTTGGGAGCCCACAAATGTTTCCCTCCTTCCCTAGAGTGAACCACTGGTTAGGAAAAGAGAGCGCTCTTCCCTACCAGGGCTTGGTAGGAACCTGTGGATTCCTGACCTGGGATCTTACTGTCTCTATCCCCCATGCAGTTGGGGTTATTGATTCTTACTGAACCCCTATGCCTTATTCTGTGGTCACTGAGTACTCAAAGAGATCTGAGAAAGGAGAGGTGCTCCCCATCTCCAGGAGCTTCCATGCTCCCCCTTTCCTTGGCTAACTTAGAGGAGCCCTTACCATGGCCCTCAGGTAATTGCCCAGCTAGTCTCTTCCCTGCTGTAACTGGACCATGCCATTCCCTGTACTGCTCTGAAATGTTCTTCTCCACCCTCAACCCTCCCTTATTACCAGGGCTAGACTCTGAGCCCAGGCTCCTTTGTAGAAGTACTCAAGTTGACACATGGTGTCTCCCTAGAGTGTTATGTGCTGTTTAGTCCTGTGCTGGTCTCTTCTGTATGTGTGTGTATATGTGCTGTGTGTACTCATGTGCATCTTGAGTCCCCAACTAGACTGTGAGCTCCCTGTGGGAAGGGACTGTCATTTCTTCTTCACCCCCTATTGAGTCCAGCACAGGGCTGGGATCCCAGCTCTCAAGAAGACAGTTGTCGACGGGCTGATGAAACAAATGCTGGAGGTTGTCGGGGGAGGGGGTGGAGAGTGTGTGCAAGGGGAGAGTACACATGGGTTAGCTAGGTTGAATTAGGTTTGGGCTGACTCCTTGGATCCATAATGGATGCTCAAGGCCTCTGTTCCTTGCATATTGGAGTTGGTAGGAGCAGGAGGGACACCCTGCCAGACACAATACACACATCATGGCTACACAGGAGTGCAGATGAGAGGATGTCCAGGCTGGCTGTTCCTGGAGGCCCCTGACATCAAATAAGTGTGTCTCAAATAAATGTTCTCTACAACAGTCGCTATGTGGAACAGTCCTTGGGGGACATAGCTGGGGTAGAGTACTGGCTTATATCTCAGCCTCCATCACTTCTGGGGAGTGTTTTATTCAAGGTCACATGTACTTGGTTTTCCTTCCTTCCTTCCTTCCTTCCCTCCTTCCTTCCTTCCTTTTTTTTTTTTTTTTTTTTTTTTTGTTTGTTTCAAGATAAGGTTTCTCTTGTGTAAGAGCCTGGCTGCTCTGGACTTTCTTTGTAGAGCAGGCTGGCCTTGAACTCACAGAGATCTCCCTGCCTCCCTGTGCTGGGATTAAAGGCCCTGCACAGCTACATGTACTTGTTTGTTAGAGTGGACTAGTAACCGAAGACTACAGGAAGCAGATCACAAACAGCAGAGTTAGCTCAGGCCTCCGTGTCCAGATAGTCATTGCTGTTTGGGTCTAGCAAACAGATCCCAGCTTCTGCCCAAACTGGACAGCAGCTGCTCAGAAGCTTTGAGGTGATTCTCACTGGCATCCAAGAGGTGGGGTCTTAGCATTACTTTTTATACTATTTTATTTTGGTTTCTTATGCCTCTTCCTCCCTTCACCCCAAATTCTTCCAATACCCCAACACCAGGTAGAAGAGAAGGAACAATAATGGGGAGAGGGGGTGGAGTTCTCTTTAGCTATTTCCTGCCAGTTAGGGTCATTGGGTTCCTTAGGGCATTCCAATCTTTGTTTCAGGATTTCTTCAACTTATCTCATCCAACTGCATCCACAGCAACCAGGAGCAGCAGGGGGAGCACCAGGAGCAGCAGGGGGAGCACCACCAGCCTTCTTCTTTCTCTGAGCACTCTTCTCTCTCTGGGCCCTGGCATTTATTCCATCTCCAGAGTCCTCAGATTTAAACTGTATGCAGCTGAGAAACAGCCCTCTCAGCCTGCACCAGACAAATAGTTTGCTGCTGTGGACAGTCTGAAGCAGTCCCATATCCCACTCCTGGGATTAAATAACTTGTTTAGAACCACAACAGTGGGTCACCAAGAAGATTTGATTCAGAGGATTGGCCTCCAGGTGGACCATCCCCAATGGAAAACTGGGCCAGTCACATCTCTTTTGACTGTAACCCTCACAGATCCTGCTCTCTGTCCTCAAAGAGATGTGGTGAGAATGAACAAGTCATACATAACTGGTCCAAATTTAGAGCACAGCCTCACTTCCATCCTTGGCCTAGGGTGAAGCCTGTCACTGCCCACATCTCTAGTGCAAGTGCTTGACAGCACCTTCATGTCAGGTGGTGACATCTGCAGACACACCAAAGCCCCATCAGGCCTCATTAGTTTGTAGGGTATGGGCTCAACCCTCCTGTCATTAGCCAAGGAGTGGGAAGTCACTCTGGGCCAGTGTCTTTGGAGCTTGGCTCTAGGATGAGGTATGGGAAGGGGCCTAAGCAGGGTTGGTGTGTTCCTTTCTCATTGCCTAAACTGAAGGTGACAGCAGGGCCCCTCCTTCTCCTCTTCCTCTGTTCCCACAGCTGCCATGGCAGAAGCAGCAGCTGTAGCCCAGCCTCTGTTAACCCAGTTCAGTTTTTTGTTTGTGAGCTTCACAGGGGTTTCAGGCCTGGCTCAGCCTGAGCTCTGGCCTGGGGAGGACATTGTGGATGACTGGATGACAACCCTTCACTGAGCCCTACCTGTCAGCCACAGTGTGAGGTTGGGGAAGAAAGTCAGAGTTGTTTGGATGGTGGGTAAATCCCAGGAGGGGAGCAACGGTGTGTGTGTTGTGTCTGCACATGTGCATGTATGTATGTATGTATGTATGTATGTATATTTGTATGTATGTTTTTTGTGTGTATACATAAGTGTGTGTTTGCACCCTTTAGTGTGTGCTCTCTGGGCCAGAGCATCACTGTTTTCTGGGAGCTTGTGTGCAAAGCCTGGGGTCCAACCCCAGACTCAGCTTGAGTTGTATCATGAGTCAAATCCTTGAGTCAGTGGTGGGAACCTGTTTATATTAGGATCTAATAACCATCAGCTTAATGGTACCCAGATGGGACTTTATGTATCTAGTTAAAGCATTAATGATGCAAAGGTCAATAGTAATTAGCAGGAATAGAGAGGTCAAAGGCCCTGTGATGGCTGACATCAGAGTTACTCTTCAGGAGGAACCACTAAATGAGATGGGAACCAGTCATTTATTTCATCTCAGGTCTGTGCGTGTGTGTTTTTTTTCAAATACAAACCATCTCTGATGGTTTCTGATTGGTTTGATAGCACCAATAATTTCCCCCCAAAGCCACACCTCCTTGTTCTGCAAAGAGCAGGTCCGGTGTCCTATTATATAGTAGAACTATTTCAGCTAATGAATCTACCTGTTGATAGATCTGGGTCTATTTGGTTTTAACGGGTACCTTTCCTGGTGTGCCAATAGGCATTATTGGTAGCCATTTGTCCCCTAGGCTAGGGAGTTTCTTTTGACCTAACATTCTAGCCTGTTGAGGATAAAGGGTGATGTACTCTTCCTGCTGAAATGTTCTTGTCAGGGCCCAGGAAGGATGGAATCCTAGTCAAAAGCCTAGAGGGGATTCAGGCAATGGGGCTTTCAACGGAAGCAGCTGGTTTACTAACCCAGCTGAAGAGACAGAGAGCAATCCCATCGCTGGATTAGTTAGCATCAGCTTTCAGCAAGTCTAGGGCTTGAAGCCCTTTAGAGCAGTTTGTAACGTGCAGCAATGTATCCTGGGGTCTGTCAGCTGAGTGGAAATCAGGGAGGCTCCCATAGGCGCTTGCTGTTTTACAAGCATGGCTGTTAACTTGGAGAGCCAGCAAAAGTGAGAGCACGCCTCCAAGTGTGACTGTCTCACCGTGTCCACCCCCTCAGCCCCAGAGTCCCGGAGGGGAGGTCCAGCTTTAGATTTGGGTGGGTGGTCTGATCTCATTGGGTGAACATGAGACCGCTGCCACTGTATTTGAGCCAAATTTGAAGCAAGCTTTATTAAATATGGGCCAGGAGGATGGACACCGGCCAGGTCCAGATCTGGGATTCCCAGCATAGGGCCTGACTGTCGTCTTGAAAGGACCTAGATTCCCCCAGCAGAAGCCTCTGGCCATGCCTGTGAAAATGATCTGGATTACACTGAGACAGGAAGACCCCCTCCACCTGTGGATCATGTTATTCCGTGGGCTGGAGTCTTGGGCTGGGTCAAAAGGAGAAGCCGATCCGAGCACCGGCCCTCATCTCTCCCTGTGTCTTGACTGCAGCTGCAGGGTGGGTGGCTGCCTCCTGCTCTGGCCTGCATGCCCTCCTGATGGACTTCCCCACTGCTGCCATGACAGAGTGACTCCTTTGAACTGTGAGCCAGAATAAGTCCTTCCTCCCTTAAAACACTTCCTGTTAGGTGTTTGGCCACAGCAATGAGAATTAATACAGACACCAAGACTTTGCCGTTTGTTGCAGTAAATTAAAAATAAAAAGAGTGTTGGGCTATATTTATTGTTAGCCCTGTTTATCACTGCTGCATCATTGAACCCATTATCACAAATGAGACACAGGCACCTCTTAGATTTATA